ATTTGTGCACACACAATTGATACCGTGAAGCGGGACGCAGTTTGACGAAAAGGGGGGGGGGGGGGCATTTGTTCTATCACTGCTTCCCTAGTTCTGGTTTACAAGTCTCACTCTGGTGAAACCTGTGAACTCTTGTGAAGCTGGAGCAAGCTCATCTAGCCATCATGGTAAACATGGTAAAACCTGTCAACTCGAGAGAAGGCTGCCTAGATAGATCTACACGTCGGTGGGAAGTAGGAAAGTGCCAAATGCCCCCCCCCTCTCGTCAAACTGCACTGAAGCGGTGCCAGGAAGCTTGGAATGAGCGCCCTCGCGAGGTTTTCTACCACTGGTTGGTTGCTACCTGGGCATGCCGCTATTGGTGGAAAAGGCAGCCGCTGGTAGGCTCATTCCACGCCTCTTGACACCGCCCGTCGCACCGCGACGATGTATGATAAATATAGAGGAGGTTTTACATACACAAAAATTCTTCTGTTTTTGAGAATTTCGATCTTTATTCTCCAGAAAATTAACAAACTGACTCACTCCCGCTTTTTCTATGAAACCTTTGTAGTCGAAATTTTCGGTAACATTTTTCTCAAGTGAGTAGAAGCGTAGCCAATTGTGCAAGCCGCCGACTTCTCCATATTTTCCTCCCTTTCGTTTTCCCTTCTTCTTCTTTTTTCCCTGAATTGCTGTAAGACGTAACGGCTCAGCGGTTCCCTGTCATGGCAGTATGAGCAAGTGGTGATAGGTCGCAAATAGCAGTAAGCTGAAGTGGAAGAAGGCGGCCCTGACTGTGTAAAATGGTTTCAGGCTCACAAAAAGTACATAAGCCTGTTTAGCGCGGTCCAGGTCCAAGTTCTGACCGGAGCAAGGGGTTTTACTTATAAAAGCTTCGTAACTAAAGAAAAATAAGTTTCTTGAAACCAAAGCTCTAGCAGAGAAGTAAGAGTCACCTCTCCGATGAAAACGTGCTCGAAACCAGATGTGTCAGGCGGTCCATGGGAACGTGAATAGTGCCCAAACCAAAGTTGAGTAACCATTTTCCGGAATGTCTCAGGATCAACTGCATAAGGATGTCCTGAACAGAAAACTCTCACGAACTGCAAAGAAAAATTAAGCTTCTGATTAATCCAATAGAATTATGAGTTTAGGAAAACAAGCGGGATACAGTATGCGCAGCTGCGAGGAATTAAGCGTGTAGCGTAGGCGCAGAGTTGAATTGGCTTTGCTCCTACCCCACGAGCCAACCCCCTAGCTCTCTTCCCAGGTACGGTTGCGATATTCCCAGTTATGTGCACCTATGGAACGGCCACTTAATTTTCACGTGCAGTTTCCGAGGCTCTAAAACCTCCTGTTTTCTTGAATTTGTGATAGTGTATCAATCCCTTCTTGAGGTGCGCCACGCCCTCTAGTTCAGCCCATATCTGTGATAAATTTTAGCGCAGTTTGCACGTGCATAAAAGGACTTACAGGGACCAAATTATGCAGCGTTTTTTCCCACACAAGCACGGTACGATTCACCGGGGATTTCAGGATGGAGGCTTCGGGCTGCAGGGATTGACCAGAGGTGACAGTTGGATCGCCGCACCTAATAAGCGGCCTCACTGCACCGCGTTCGCCTACAAAGAAGCTTCAGAGATCATTTCAAAAGGTTGTGGTTTATACGGCTACAGCAACGCAGAGGACTTAAAGATTGTAGCGCAGACACAGGGCGTTCAGCGACGGAATGTTCATTTTGAACTGCCGCTTACTAACATTTTAACCGACTCTTCATCGTGAGCCCTACCCTTATCATGCCCAGCGAAAATCGTCATGCCAAAAGGGAGTCTTCGAAACGTTGAGCTGAAGACGTTTCGCTATATGGAAATGACTGAATGTAGCCAAACTAGCGCTCAAACATGTAGCCTGAGAGCCTACAATCACTCAGCACAAGAAATCGAGTACCATTCGGCATCAGATTGTTACCAACAATATCTTCTTTGTTTCTTGAAAAGAAATCCTTGCTTTCATGTAGAAGTCATAGAGAACTTGGAACGGCTATGATTGCGTACGTTCGTGGGAATGCATTCGTTTCACGACCTTACCTGAAAAAAAATTCAGACTGAGTGGCTATGAGGGCCCTGGCGACGTCTTAGTTACGATAAAGTAACTAATTCCTCTGTGACGAACACGGTGAGGACCAGTTCAAACAGCCCACGACCTTTCCTTTAAAGGACTTGGCTAGCTGAGTCTTTTTTGCGATGAATCTGTTGGGTCTCCTTAGCCGCCCCGTCACTGTTCGCATCTCATGGTCCGCAGGTGTTGTCAAGCCCATGGCCCTGCTCCTTCATGGATAAAGTAGACGTTACCTCCTCTGCTGAGACTCGTGGCTCTGCAACTCCTGGTTCACGAGAAAAATTATCGGTGAGTGCAAGGAACTGCCTGTAACTCGGCCTCTTGAGGAGACTCTTGTCAACTTGAACGAAAAGCCTGAAACTGAGAATGTTGAGCTAGGAATGCTGACTTTTTTGACAATTAGATCCCTTTGATAGCCTCCCATGTCCATGACTGCTGTCGCGGTACGGCGAATGGGTGTCCTTCGATTGCTCCAGGTATGGAGCCCCGGTAGCGAACCACAAGTGGGCGAGAAACATCCAGGGGGTTCGTTGCCTAGCATGGCTCCGTTTCGGTGGTCTCCCCAAAAGCTCTGCCTAGTAACACTCCCACACGGACTGCTTCTGAGGAACCTAACTACCTAGACGACAAAGGGAGTTAGGGAAGTTCCAACATGACCAGCACACGATATCAAAATACCTGCCTTTCATGGCAAGCCTGGCGCGTGAGTCGCGTACCGCGGCAACTCCTTAAGTTTCTTTAGGTCTGGTTTTTGCGCAGGTGAATATATCACTAGAAGTCCGCATTACTACGAGTAGATATTCTCACTCTGAACTAACTAATTATGAGCGCTCCTGGGGTTACTTATTGCAGGTGGCATTAATAATCGAAGGCTAGTTCAGTTGGAGATGGGGGGGGGGGGTCAGTGAGGCTCTAGACCACTTCCATTTCCTACGCTTCTTCATTCTCATAGGGTTCCACTCGACCTCCGTCCATGAAAGAGTTCTCTGGGAGCGCTGACAGAAAATGAGAAGGCGTGTCTCGCTCGATAGGCTATCCTCACTGTCTGTTCCCCGCAGCAAACTCGTGCAGTCAAAAACTGGACCTATTGAACGCGAGTAAGACTCCTGTACTTCAAACTTACCTTTCCTCCGCGTTGTCTGTTCCGTCTCCTTTCTCCGTACGCCCTTGAAAGTCCAGTATTATCTGTCCTTCTTGTGCTTTGTTATTATCTGATTTGCGAAGCTTTCTCGAAATGTCCATCAATTCTTCATTCGTAATTTTGAAGGCTAAATTGTGCTCTTCTTTTCAAAAAGGTTTGTATTGAAGCATTTATCTTCCTATCACTATTGCACAAGCATTTGATCTACATAACTACTCCCAAAAACAAATAAAACTCTGATTTGTGTTCTGCCCTTCTGAGCAGATGGAAGGGGATGAAGGTTCCGTCAATCTCCAGTTTTTCGCCAAGAAAACTGGTGTCGAGATTTGGAATAGAGGAATGGGGGAGGGAGGAACTGGTACAGCGCTGCTGAACAGCTACTAATTTTAATTATCAGAAATAACAGTTTATTGCAGTTCTGCGACGGAGGAGGGGGGGGGGAGGGTATATAATCAGAATTCGAAGCTCGCAGTTCAAAAGACCATCAAATACAAAACCTCCTCTCAAAAGACCCGGTACAATTCATAACGATGCTACCCAATTTCCGCCCAAGCAACTTTTAAATGTTGTTCATGAGTAAACTAGCTGATGCCGTAACTGGCGCTGTGAACACGGTAACCTTCCCCTTCTAACGCCCCTAATCAAATCTTATCCACTGCTAACATATTTACTATATCCACTATTGTCACCCACCAATAATGTTCTTGCCCCATAACCTATATCATGCCTTCGACTTAAAGGCAGTTGGCACGATAAATCCCCCAAGACGAGTAGGATTAATACGCCTGGCAGGACGGAATTCCGCGACCCTGAGCAGGCGCTGCATAATGCCTTTTCCAAGGGAGGTGCCCTTATAAGGGCCCTATCAAGCCACAACATACCGACCCAAACGCCCGCCACGCCCGCCCGCCCACAAATGGACGACCGTTCCTGACGCTCTAATCGATTCATTTGCTAAGCAAATTATGAAGCGAAGGGATTGGTATGAAGCGGCCGTGATGCTGCATGCATATATGGGTACACATATGCAGCCGTACCTTCGGTAGCGGTTATTGGCAAGATGCCTACGGAAAAACTCGTCCAAAATTGATTTCTAACACATGAGAACGGAGGCTCTTTCTTGCAAGATTTTGACCCCGTTCTTTCGTCATTTCCCCACTATATAGCGCCCTACTAGCATTTTAGGCGGAGCACCAAATCATCGTGCCAACTGCCTTTAAGGTACCACTGCTGCTGTGACCCGCGCTAAGGACTTGTTGACCCTCCTTTTCTGCGCCTCTTATCGGATCTTATCAACTGATATCACTCCCTGTCACCCCCAATAATGTTCCTCTCCCAATCCACTCATACATATTGAGCCAGTTTCTACTGCTCGTGGTACGGGTGTTATGATTTCCGTGACATACACACAGACCACACCGCGGTACTACGTTAGCGGATTTTATATAGTGGGTTGTCCGGAAAGTTCTCAGCGTTTTGAGTGTTTCACTTCAAACGATCATAACTTTCTCAATACTCATCGGGTTCAGTCGAAACAGTTGTCGTTCGAATCAGCACTTCATTTTGCCAAACGTGGCATGTATCATTACAATCCCATAGAAAGAAAACTAATGTGTGGCTGCACTGACGCAATTTTCTTGTAACGTTTTCGGCCGAATTCTTCTACAGTAGGACTCTTGCTGTGATGGTTGGCTTGTCGAAATAAAGTTAAAGTGGCATATCACACCAGCCGATGACTACCACACTGTGACCATAACCTTTTTGTCGTGAGGATTCGGCTTTGGAAATTGCCTCAGGGGTCCGCCGGCATCCAACCACTGTCCGAAACGTCTCCTGTTATCATACATGATCTTATACGTGGACAATTCGGCTCCGCGAAAGCGGTCGTTTGCTGTTGTGCAAAAGCACAGTGAAGAAGAAACCTCAGAGACAATGCCAATTTGCTGCAGCGTCACTCAAATTTTGTGGCGACCACTGGCGAGTTCCTTCACGTTCCAATCCTTTTCAGACCATCCGCAAGAGTGGATTTGCCAACGCCTAGCTTTTCGGCAATCTCTCGAACTGTTTGGGATGGCTCAACCTCCACAAATGCCTTCAAATCTTCGTCAGGTATTGCTTTAGGTCGACCGCTACGAGGTTCACCTTCAAGGCTGAAATCTCCAGAACGAAATTTGTCGAACCATTGTCGCACGGTGCTTTCTCCAACACTAGTGGGCCCCCACACCTGGTTAATTTTTCGAGCTGTCTCGACTGCGGATTGACCCAATTTGTAGCTGAAGAGCAATATCGTCCGAAGTTGCTCTTTTGACATGCTTGAAAACTCTTGGAAAAAGGGGGTCAATCAAGCAATGGTGAAACGGCAATTATACCATCAGATAGCGCAAAAATTCTCTTCAGGATGTACTACTGAGACGCAAGGGAGAATGAGTTTTTAATCAGCAATGAATGTACAAAAATAGTAACACAAAACGCTGAGAACTTTCCGGACAACCTTAGCAATAAAAGTAGGGTTCCTGTGTAATAGGTATAAAGGATTGATATGTACCGTAAAGTCCGCTAACTCAGCGTCGCCCTCAGGTAGTACGTTTCTAACCTGGAACGCTCTCAGCAGTTGTAGTCTCCGCGACGATGACTATTAATGCGAGATACCGCCATATAACTGAAACTGTAACATATTTGGCTTTCAGTCATGCTCATCGAAAATCTGTAGAATTGTCGTTTGACCAGTAGCTTGATCAAGAGGCGCTGACTGGGCCTGAAGCTGAGCTGACTCACGACTGAAGAAGCTGAAGACCGTCTCGGGGAGATAAAGATGAAAATGTTGCGCTGAACTGCCGGCGTCAACCGTATGGCTCACATTTGCGAAACGAAAGGAGAAGCATACGCGAGGCATTCCTCGTGTCATAACTGTAGGTCATCGTGGTTAGGAAGAAGAAAAAACGAAAAGTAGTGGGCACGAGAAATTGAGCAGAAAACGGGAGCAGACACTAATTAGTGCGACAGTAAAGCAAAAGCGGGACGAAGCGACCGAAAACGTAAAAATGGGGCCTTCATGAACAGCTGCCGTCAGAAACTGTATGAATCTACGGCTGAGATTAATCATCGGTGGTCGAATATCAATGGGGGGAAACAACTGACATCCTGGCACAGGAAAAGAATCCACGTCGAGTCTCAGTGTAGCCAGTTCTTTACGACAATGTCAACAGGGTCCTTTCAGCCAGCAGGGACATATGCGGCATTACTGAAAGCGCTGTTGAAGATTCGGATCGAGGTGAAGAAAAATCGAAAAGCAAAAATTTAACTAACGACGCAAGAACTCACAGAAAGAAAATACTTATGTTACCAATAGGCATTGCAGAAGGAACCCTGGAGAAAGGAAGGAAGCGCCATTCAGTCGCAGATTGTGAATGAACAGCTGATCGATCGTGATCAGGTGAACAGTCGGTAATTAGTGCAGCCATTTGTAGGCGTGTCGTTGTTGGAGGGGAAGGGGGAGGCGAGAAGAGCGATTATGTTGAGCTGTGCTGGGTTACTTAGTGCCCGTTTTTGTTGGGAAAGACACTCTTAAGGGTTTGCTCAAGGCTTAATACTTTTGTGATCGTTGTATTCATCCTACATGCCTAGGATACTTATCGTATCCTCTGCCTTTGGAAGGTCGTTCACTATTCATAACTGACCAATAGTGATAAGGCGGATGACCCTTGTACCCGCCACCGCGTCCGGTATCATATCGGCCCAAATAGTATAGACTACGGGATCATCCAAACTTCCACGGGTAGTGTTGGAAGCTTTCAACCCATGGTCGTCGGTCCTTGCGTACCAGCCCTTCGACTTCACAAAGTATTAGGGTGATAAAAAATGACCCAATTTTTGAAATTTCGAGAACTTTGGAATCTTGGTCGATATCGATGACCAAGCAAGTGGTAGTTGTAGAACATTCTCGAACCTTCTCCATAATGGGTATATAAAGCTGGGCTGCTTCCTATAGCTTTATTCACGATGGCAATCACATAAGTAAGCTTTAATTCGACACTTGGTCATCTACTACGAATGCTTGCCGACGCGGAGCGATGGCTAACACGTATTCAAAACATCAACAGCACATGGGAGAGGGCACCACTTCTCTTAGCACCTGGTCAAGCGCTGGTTCGCTCGCTTCGAAGAAGGAGACACGAACTTCGAGGGTAAGCCTCGGTCGGGAGCCCCCCACACAGTCGACGACTTCGCCATTCTCGACGCCGTCAAGGAGGATTCGGAACTCAGCACCCGCAGTCTGCGACAAGACTTGGGTGTACTCAACCAAACAGATCGGTCGGCGCCTTCACGCTCCTCAGGGTACCTGGAAAGTGCTGGGCATCGAATGGAATCCGCTCATCAGTTGACCTGAGAATGCGCGGTGGCTCGGGTTGCCATCTGTCAGTCACTACTCCTCTGCCCCCAGCGCAAGGGGTTTCTCGCCGACTTGGTTACTGGAGACGAGAGTTGGATCCTCTACAACGCCAATAAGCACCGCGCGTTCTGGCTCCCGCAAGGAGAATCGCCGCCTACGCAAGCAAAATCCGATCTCCACCCGCAGAAGTGTCTGCTTTGCTGCTTCTGGGACGCGCGCGGTATGCTGTACTACGAGATGCTATCGCAAGGCCAGACGGTCACCGGGCCCATCTACGCACGCCAACTCGGCAAACTCGCCGAAGCTCTTCGCGAAAAACGGCCGAGACGGGCCTCGGTCCACCTTCTGCACGACAACGCCCGACCCCACATAGCAAAGGAGACCCGGGAAAAACTGGAGGAGCTGGGCTGGGAAACTGTCCCTCACCCGCCCTATTCCCCTGACCTAGCTCCTTCAGATTACCACTTGTTCCGTCCCCTTAAGGCTTTTCTAGCTAAGAAACAATTCACCAAAGTTGATGATGTGAAACGGGCGGTGAGTGACTTCTTCGACTCCCAGTCTCCTCAGTTCTGGGAGAAGGGGATCGCTGACCTGCCCATTAAGTGGGAGACTGTTGTCACTAATGATGGTGATTATATTGTTGAGTAGCTTGCATTGTATGCTGAGTACTAAAATAAAGCAGAAAATTTTTTTAAATGGGTCATCACTTTCTTATCAACCTAATATTATACTTGGACGAGTTCTGCTTAGGGAACCACTCGTTCCTTCTCTTGACGAAAACGACTGATAAAACGAAAAATGATAAAAGAGAAAAGATTGGCAAAGACGAAATGTAGACACAAGACGGGGAGGATCCTCCACTGCCAGGATAGACACATCAGACAACACGACTCGATTGAGACACTCCCCGCGATCAAGTAGTCCTCAAAATGACTCCGTGCCTTTTGAACTGTTATACGCGTTCACAAAGAACATACCACTTTCGTCCCTCAAAACGGCGCGATAAAGAAGTTAGAGACATTTGCGCGTGGCAACAGTGGCAACATCATACTGTAGCTGGACGAGACAACGGCTCGCGAGCAGCTTCTATCCCACAACACCCGCGCGGCACGTGTCGCGCGCGGCGCTTCTGGCACTTTGCCATCTTCAGTGATCCGAGCTTTCCATAGCGATTAAGCGCAAACCTCGCACTGATGGACATAAATTGAACACACTTAGGCTGTTTTAGAGTTCCATGTCTTTGCAAGCGCGATTCCAATTAGGAGGATGTGAACAAAAGCAGAAAGCTTTTCTTGAGTTCCATACCCGCAAGTTTTTCTGCAAGCGATGGGAAGGACGTGAACTGAAGAGCAGGTAGTTCGTCTCCCATACTAAAGGATAAGAAATGAAGTGCAGTTAGTGTATCACAGGATCGGCTTTCAATTTATCTCGGCATCAGAGACTATTGTAGACTTTGTATGTTCCCCTCAAGCCCGCCCTCTGACCTGTTACCTCGGAGCTTAAAAAACATATAAACTACCGTCCTGTAGTCTTGTAACTCAGAGTGCCCGGTAGAACTTCTACCCGTAAAAAGGTTGGTGGCTTTACGACTTAGTTCTAAGATATCCTAGCCCGTAGTTTCTTACTGTAATAGAAATGGTGCTTGAGTGAATTGTTTCGATGATAGGTTTCGACTTGCAGGCTCCGAAGAAGGCGATGTTCGCCGAAACGTTAGTCCAATAAAGTATCTGTACAAATCTCGGGAGTTATTCAAACTGTTACCCCCAATCTTCCGACATCAGACCAGTTTCACTACCGAGCTTTTTAAAAAGGCTAAAAGTTTTGTATGCAGACCTTCAACCTCCGAGCATGAATACGCATCGCTTGGCCAGGAATTACCTGGCGCTCACGCCGCGGTCCCACGGCTCAAGCTTTGCGCTCCAATCGCTATGGAGCGCGCGTCCTTCACGCCCGACATTCGTCCAAGACTGCTGAGGGGAGGTCTGTGCTGGGGTGTCCCAGTCTTGGACGAATTTGTTCGGGCGTGAGAGGACGCGCGCTCTATAGGAGAATTGTTACTTATTATACTTTCAGCGCCGAACAAGGTTGTTAGATAGAACCTTTTATTGGCCCGACGTTTCGACCTTCTCGTCTTCTTCAGAGGCCTGAAAATGGCTCGAAGCTCTATATTTGTCACCTACCCGACCAAGCGCCTTCCCCACTCTAGCGTTTCCGACGTCGAATTGCCCCGAAGAACCCAGTAATATGTAACTGCGCGCACAACTCACCGAGGTTCATCGTCTGGAGCTATAGCTCACGCTATGTGGAGGCCAATAAAAGGCCAAGGTTACAAGAAGGGACAACTTGGAGGTGTCCCGAGAGTTTTTTCCCTTCTTTTCCCACTGAGGAGCTACTTATGGGATGTTGAGTCATAATGGAACGCCAACTACCCGCAACACTTGATCGCGGGAATTGCTTTAACATGCAGCTAAAAGCATCAGTATGACCACCCCATGCGTTCTTCATCAGTTTGTAATTGAAGTTTACGTGATGTGTTACGAACATGCAATTTATCACTTCGAGCCCCTAGACCTTATTGAACCGTGATGCCGTTCAGAACACCGTGTAGTGTCTACAGGAAAAATGCGCGAAGCTCGCCTTCGTTGGTACGACCATGCAGTTTGCTGGAGGGTTGACGCCTGCGTAAAACGATTTCCAACTCGTGTTGTTCAAAGAGCTGCCAAGAGGAAGCTATTTGGCTGCTCCAAGGGGGTTTCTGGGTGTGCGGCGTTACTTTTCCGTTAACGCTGGTGGGCATTTCCTGGAGACTCTGTTTAGGTATCAAGCAAGCAAGCAGGATTTGAAGTGGCGACAATGACAATGGATGGATTCAGTAGAACTGAAAGTGAGATTGGGGAAGATTCATAAGAGTAAGTGGAGATTCTCAGTGGCCGAATTGGTCGCGAATGCAGCGAGCTTCGTCAACAACAGATGTTCAGATCAGTGCCAGTTTCTTCAGGTATTACAAAACAAGCGCACCATAAAAGCATGTCAAAACCCATGAAATGGGCGTGCGGTGTTAGGTTGAGAAAAACTCAAAACTTCTTTGAAGATCGGTAATGAACCAACCTGCCATGATTTCCTATAAACACTAGATGAGTCTCACTCAATCATATCTATTCGATGGATATTTCTGGGGTATGTGGCTTCGACGTGCTGGTGGGCGTCGCTTGCTACGTTACACACGATGTTTCTTAGATCCAGTTGGGAACAGCATACAAGGTATAAACAAAAATAGCCACAACGGTCTGCAATGTCGCAGTTGACATGGAACCTGCAGCTCCAATAGACAGGGACGCAGTGCTTATCGCCGCGTACGGCGGAGCGGCAAATTACGATAGCCTTGGCCGTCTTCCATACCTCTGCTCAATAAGACAGTGTCCTGCGGCGCACGAACGCTATTTTGAGAGGGTATCGGTGGAGGATGCGCTGGACAGTGTAACACCCGTTCTTCTTTCGTTAGTCATTGTTGATTCCCTAAAACTATAGCGGCCAACGTCGAATGATACCCAGCTGCGTTCCCCTCTAGAGAATGGGAGCGCCATTGCAGTGGTAGCGCGTCAACGCGCGTCATAGCGAAGTCTGAACGGTGTCTCAGCTTCACATTCGCTAACGTTCATTCAAAAATGTACAAAACAAAACTCGAAAAAAGTTTATGAGACGTTGAAAAACCAAATTGTCGTCTAAGCTCGTCCACCGAGGCGACGGCACTTTTCTGTGAGTGCACCTGCCGTTGGGAAAATGGATCCGATGAATACCTGAAAGAGAGACTGATGTGAAGTGAGTACGATACTGCAAAAGAGCCTCGGAATCAATATCTCGTAGATTTCCTTCGCCAATGAGGTTTTTCGAGGTTTAGCGCTTAGGCGCTTCTTTCCCAAAAAGTGGAATAAGTGGACAATACCCACCCATTCGCTTTCAGGTCATTACACTGACATGTTAGGCAGCGGTCAGCAATCGCGATACGTGCGTCTACGCGCTACCGTTGAAATGGCGCTCTAATGCTATGCACGGGAACGCGGCCGCAGACAGGTATCGATCGGCGGCGCGTCGCGTCATCGCGAGTCTATACGCTATATAACGGAAAACCTACTCAGAGTTTGGTAACGCCAGTAAAAGGGGGTATGGTTCAGGACATCCATGCTGACCGTCCGACACGCACAAACTATCTGCTTTTCCTACACTCCTGACATCTACAGCACTTTCACGTTACAATTAGGGTATTTTTTATACATGTGAATGCAGCTTTACAGTGTGCTTTTCATCGCCTCGTTGCAAGGTGAGTTCCTGGGATACCCTGACAGCGCGATAGCCGTTCCACCCCCAGTAAACATTGCGCCTTGGGAAAAACCGTGTACTGGGGGAGTGGAACGGAGCGGAATAGTTTAGCGTTCAAGGACGGTTCGCAGAATCAGAATGACCGCAATGAAGATAAGGACTTGTGCCTAAGCCTAAAGGAGTTGAGGGAAGAGAGAGAAGGAGAAAAAGGAGTTCAGAGATGGGTGCAGGCGCGACAGTTCTATTTTAGATTAGGTGTATCCAGTTTTGCACAGGGGCTCTTTCAAATGCCCATTCCGGTACTAGTGTCGGATATTAAAACTTGAAGATAGTCGCCGCGCGAAACACCACTCAATAAAACTGATTTTACAATGACCGCCTGTCGCGCACTTTTGTCGCGTTTGATAGCGCCGGATAGTGTAGGGGAATTGCAACGCGGGTCATTTCTAGTGGCAAACCCCTTGGATGTCAATGCAAACGTATCAATGAGTATCAGAGGATAGAAAAAACCTTGTTATTCTGGATGATGTCGAAGCTGGTGATAGCTAACGGGCATCCGTCAATTTCGACCTGAAAAAAATTAGCATTTCCTTCGGTGAACTTCATCTAGGTGGGGGCAACAATGGGGCAATAACACTTTGGGAAGCTTGTACCGGCCATCTCGGAAAGACCTGTGATTTCTCGGAATCAAAGTGGCTCATATGTATCACTCCGTAACTTCAAAAAGTTTACTGGTCTCACAACAATGAGACCTGTTAACGAAGATGAACTGGAACAAGGAATCACCGAAAGTGCAAAATGCCCCTTCCGAGCCGCACGACGTCTTTCTTCCTTGCGTAATAGAATAGCTCAATAGACATACTTCGCATTGATCTCGGCCACGTCGTGAGAGGAAGCACAACGTATACAGCGCCATATCGTATTCTGGCGACGTGCCAATCAGAATTGATCCAGAACGCTTCAGATCTCCTTTCCATGTGAACTTCACTGAGGCCATGACAGTCTGTGGAAATTAAAAAGTTATTCATGCTCACCAGATCCTCTTACAAAACAGCTAAGGCACTCATATCTCTGATAAGGAGATGGATTGTCCTCGGTCATAGTTGCGTGCGCGACTGCGGCTGCAAACGAACCCCTTCAGTGCTAATGACAGTGCCCGCGCTATAGCAATTCTTGGGCGACTTTCCTTACATGAGGGGTCCGGTCCGCAGTCTCTTATACTGCCCCTCTTTCGCGGCTTCGCAGTGAGTACCAAGGCGCTATAGCTCTCAGAAGTAGCAGTTCTGACGCCGTGTCGCCTAGTCAGCCAGAAGTGGTTGGATATCGCTTTGCCGCCATAAAACAACAGGTTTGCTCGTCTAGAGAGGCTGCCAGGTCCTCACCCCCACATATCTCGGAGATGGAGGGAGCGTGGCCGCGTCCCCAATCGAACAGGGCGTAGAAGGCGCTCTTCTTGGCATAATTCCACTTAACAGCAGTTATCCTATCTAGTGCTAGACAAAGACTCGGTTACACATGTCCAGACCAATGCCCTCTCAAAGCGCACATTCAAATGAGGCACATGACCACGCCCTCCCCATCCCCAGCATATGGAGTGTTCTCCATACTTAGGTGTTCTCCATATTTTTTTCCGCTTTTTTCTTCCCTTCAGAGTCATTTAGTGAGTATAGGTTTCTAACTGAACGCCATAATCCTCAAAACGGCGGGATTTGCCGTTGAACAAGTCAAAGATACGCAACGCAGCGTCTCTCATGTGTATTTCCGTCGGCAAGCCTTCCCCAATACGAGATATGAACCCTAAAAATTGTTCGAGCTTGCTGAACAGTAATACTTCGTCTTTAAAGACTGAGCGCTGAAACTGCTTTCAACCACGAAATGGGTTCTTACCCCACGCTTGATGACAAATCCTTTGTAGTCGAAGTTTTCAGTGGCGTTCCTCTCCAATGTGTAGAATCGTAGCCAGTTGTGTAGACCAGAAATTTCTCTGTTCTTCTCCTGAATACGACAAGTTCTGTTTGAAGCGCTCCAGGAAATATGAAGCTCTAATCAATAGAAGGTTGCTGGGAGTGATAAGACTCAGCAATTCTATAAGAAAAAAGTGGATGTTGTTAGCACGATTCACAGTGGAGCTGGTTTGTCTTGTTCTAAGAATGCTTTGGCGTGTCCGAGGGAAAGGATTGGGTCAACGTAGCGCCATGGAGGTCTGGAAAATCAACTGATAGAGCCATCGAATCACCTCTCCCATGAAAACGTGTTCGAAACCAGAAGTGTCTGCTTTACCGCGAGCTCGTGAATAGTGCACAAACCAGAGTTGAGCAATCCAGTAACGGAATACGATAGGGCTAGAAGCGAAAGGATGTCCTGAAAGTTCAAGGTATAAGTGAAAAATATCGATTTGGCAGCCGGGACTTTATAGGGAGATACCTTTCCTATGCAGGAACTCGTAGAGCGCCTTCCAGGGTTTCGACTCGAGCACTGTGGTGAGAAATGTAGAAGTTTCCCTCTTTTCCTGGAATGAAGTGGAGGGGTGGGGCGAGACCATTGCGCTGAGTCTCGAACGCCGCGGAAAATTCAAAGAATTTGCATTTTTTACAACAAACCTCAGTTACGGATACGCGTGGCTCGGCATTACCCGTTTCACGATTGAAGTTATCAGCAAGAGCCAAGAATTGCCTGTAGCTGGGCTTCTTGAAGAGGCTCTCATCGACCTTGACGAACAAGCTGAAATTGTGCACGACCGCCCTTCACGAAAAATCGTGCTGGCTAACAGGCAATAAGGCCGCGTTCATGAGTTCGCGACAGACCGGACCAGTCAGTCGCACTACTGCGCGGCTCGCGTGTCCGCCGCGTGCGTCGATCGTCGTCGCCGAAGCGTGAAAGACTCTGATTTTACCGCTGATCAGATCGAACTGATTGTGTGGGGGGGGGGTCCAAGGAACTGCGGACGGAGCGGCAGCCTCGGCGACCGAATAGCTGCAAAGCTGAGAGCATGACAAAGCGGACTAAAATATTAATATCTAGTTCACAAGCAGTTAAGAAAGTCAGCTGTGTAATTGGGTTTGTCCGGAAAGTTCTCTGGGTTGGTGACAGCCTATTTTTGTGGCATTCACTACTGATTAAAAACTCATTCTGCCTTGCTTCTCAGTAGCACATCCTGTAGAGAATTTCTTGCGCTATCTGATGTATAATTGCCGTTTCACCATTGCTTGATAAACCCCCTTTTTTCAAGACTTTTTGATTTCAGCATGTGAAAAGAGCACTTCGGACGATTTTTTCTTCGACTATAAATTGGGGCAATCCGCAATCGAAACAGCTCAAACATTCATTACACCAGGGTGGGCCCAAATAGTGGCTAGAGAAGCATTGTGCGGCAATGGCTACAAAACAAATGTTCCGTCTGGGAGATTCTCAGCCTTGAGGAGTGAACCTCAATAGCGGTGGACCTAACAGCAAGTATTTGGCGAGGATTTGAAAGGGGGATTTTTGGAGGCCCTGACCCTCCAAACAGTTCCGAGGAGATTAGCAGAAAAGAGTCTAGGCCGTTGGCACAGTCCCTGTTTTGCGGATGGTTCTGGAACGCAATTGGGAAGGTGAAAAACTCGATAATTGGGTGCCCACAATCGGAGTGACCGGCAAGGAATCGGCACGCGTCTCGAGTTTCCTTCTGCATTGCTTTTGCGCAGCAGAAACGACCTGTTTTTGGGCCGAATTGTCACCTGTGATGAAAAATGGGTCATGATGTGTGATAACAGGAGACGTTCCGGACAGTGGTTGGATTTCGACGAACCACCGAGGTAATTTTCAAAGCCGAACCCTCACGAAAAAAGATTCTGGTCACGGCTTGGTGGTCATCGGCTGGTGTGATCCACTATAACTTTTTATCACCAGGCCAAACCATCACAGCAGAACCCTACTGTGAAGAAAAATGTGATCGAATTTGTATCCTGAAAATTTTGTCAATGCAGCGTGCCAACACTTATCAAAAGAAAGGGTCCGATTCTTTTGCATGACAACGCCCCCCACACGTTTCACAAATCACTATCCATAAATTGAACGAATTGGGAGTTGGAGTCTACCTCAAAACTGCCATAATTCTTCAGCAACTGACTATCACCTTTTAAACATTTTCAGAACTCCCTTGCTGGAAAATACTTCATCAATCAGGACCAGGCAAAAAAGCCTTCGTGGATTTCGTGAATTTTCGACCACCCAGTTTTTTACTTTGATGGGATTTCTCGACTGCTGTCACATTGGCAAAAGTGTGCTGATTCGAATGGTGCCTATTTCCTATCAAATCGGATGAAGTATTAAAAAAGTTAAACGATCATTTGAGGTGAAACACCCAAAAAACGGCTGAGAACGTTTGCCGGGACATGAACTGTAATATAATGCCGAACAAAACAACAACACAACATGCATTAACCAGAAAAGAGGGATTATAAAAACTTTCGGTGGGCATTTTGCTAGACAAGATGGTGACAAAATAGGGCACGTCCTATCGTTGGACAATCCAAAACTAGAAGGTATATTCCCTAGAGGATAGTATTCAGTTGGTGGAGTAGGGGTAGAGGTCCGGTCAAGCCGATAATGGTATCCAGGAGTCTTCCATGCCTTTGAAAAAAATTTTACGGTTACGATGGTGAGGAACTTGCGGATAAAAAAGCTCAGGAAAAGCGGTAGGATGTTGGAGGAGTCTAGGGTGACTACGTAGGAGAAAAGGAGGGTCATACTAGAAGAGGAAGTATTTTGAAAAAAAAACTCCGACGGCAGGACAGCCCTGTTCAGCAGACCTTGGCAGAGGTGGTCGGCTAAACCAATTTATTATATGGAGTTCTATGAATGAACTGGTCGGCTCTTTTCAGAGTTGCTTGCACCCTGGTGATAAAGTTCAATAGATATGAGAGCGAATACAAACTCTGAACAGCTGATCGTGTTCGGCGAAACTCTGTTCTTTGAAAAGAATTGAAACCTGTCTGGCCACGCCCTTCCCAGCTGCAATTAATGAATCACTCACCGACTGGCAGCGTTGTCATACTCATCTCTCGTGGTGGTATGACTCTGGAAGTTGACTTGGATCTGCCCTCTTGAGGCCTTATTGTCGTCCACCTCCCGAAGTTTTTTTGACATCTCTTTCAGTTCGGCATTGGTAATGGTGAATGCTGAAACAAGATCATCATCATCAGCAACACCACCAAAGAGGGAACCAGATTGGTAGACCCTATTCAGCCTACCCCATCAGCAATGACAGTGCATCAGTTTTTCCATTAGCTTAAATTACCTTATGACTCAAAGTGAGATGCTAATTTTTTTTGAATTCCAGTGTTCACCCAAGCTGAGTTATGGGCAGAACATCTCCTCTAAGCTTTTAAGAGCTACCTATCAGCGCTTACCTAAGCTCAGCTCTACGACGAGATGAGCTATTCAGCCAAGGAAAACATATTCCCGCGCAATACTCCCTTTCTCTATGATGGTTTTCACTACTGGGCAGCCATGGTAGCTTTTTTCCACCACTTGTTACGGGGCCAGGAAGACATCAATTGACGGAAAGGTGGGACTGGTTGAACTCCGAACCGTGCATTCCTCCAACACACACTCTCGTTTGCGGTATAATGGTGTGCGAAACCTGGTAACACTGAGATGGATGGATTGCTTGAATGGGATTTGATCCCGGATTTGATACGCGAACCATGGCCGTGATGAGAATTGCCAGTTGCCTTTACTACATGTACACCGTATTTCTGTGCGAATGCACACACCGTTAATGGGAGAAGAGCACACCTCACTCCAGTCTCATATGCATTTGCATTACCGACGCACACCGGTTGCCTCGGGAGCTGGAGTGCCAACGCCTCGCCGTCCAGCGCAAATCACTATGAGAGTTTCGTCGAGAATCCAGCGAGAAAAAACACTTCCGTGACTGACATTCACCGGAATGCTGAACTTACGCACACACCGCCCGCCAGAAGTCGTGATTCTGAGCGCGACAAGGACTGAGCACGCACCCGCATAGTAAAACGCCACACTCGAGACCGCCACCTCTCTCCAGGATGCGGAGCCCCTTCTCGAGCCAATCCCAAGACATATGTGGTAACATATCATCATATGATCACTATATGCAATCCGATCCTGTGCATTCATAATCATATGCCCCCCACCACCAAACAACAGTGCGGATCTAGGGCAGATCTATTTCATACCTTCGTGCTAACGGTTAAGGATTTTCAAGAGCTGGCTCTGCGACCTGATGACAGTGTTCACAACTGGCTATTGAGAAGGACAATTCCCTGGCGTCCTGAAAAGCCATTTGGTCCATTACACCTCAATACCTCTACTCAAGGCATCGTCCTGAAATCATCAATTCTTCAGGATACAACTCGGGTAGAACAGTCCAGTCTCCATCTCTGCAAGCCCTTTGCCTGATACCAACCCATCTCTATTACTCTACCCCTACTCTCTTCAACTCTCCCTTAGTCCAACACCATTTAACGCCGAACGGTCCGCATTTTGGAAATCAGGCTAGTTTAGACTGAAATAAGTTCGAGGGTTACAACTCTGATCTCATAGTGCTAGTACCGAGGTCTGACCCGCGCTGGACACGAAAACGGCTGGCAGGGGGGGGCAATTTCCAACAACATCAAGATTGTGACCAGAGCTTCGAGAAGAGAGTTGATCGGTCAATCCTCTTCTTATCCCTAGCGTAACCCGCGCCGTCGCGGGGTCCGCTGTCTTTGTTAAACGTCATCCACTTGTGTTCGCGATACGACTGCAGTCCTTCACGCATGGCTTTCACTCAGTGAGAGGTCCTTCTTGATGACGTCCCTCCATCTTTTCTTTGGGGCTCCTCGTGGTCGTTTGCCCTCTACTTCGAATTCCAACGCTTTTCTTATTGGGTGGTCCTCAGGCCTCTCAGTACGTGCCCATACCATCGCAGTCGCTGCTCTCGTGCATTCAGCTGGATCGGGGCCGTCTGTGTGACCGCCTTGACGTCCTCGTTGGTGAATAGCATCCAGGACCCTTATTTGGCTTTCAATCTAATAAAAGCGTTTCTGGCGACTATCCTTGTCAGTATCTTATTGGATATTTGGCTTGTTTACAAGCCACCCTTTTGAGGATTAAAACCTCAAATCTGGTCGTGTGATCTAATTTTCAATTTTTCAGGCTCAATTTCCACAAACGCTCACCGGGTATTCGCTCTGCCATGTAGGCCGCCTCGCCAAAGGTTACCATCATCAGCACAAGATGCCACATGCCTGAAAATACTAACAGATGACGTGATGGGCAATATGACACGCGCAGGTGAAAGCGAGAGTGCGCACAGCGATAGTGAAAAGAGTGAAAAGAAACTGCATCGATTGATCGCAATGGAGGCGATGACATTTTGCGGGCCAGAATTGACTCTGGGAAGAAAACATGCATGGGTCAAAATATAACTAACGACTATCACTCGAAGACCTCAAAGACCCACGGAAATAGTGAAGGATGGGATAAAAAGAACAGAAAAAGATGAAAGGAAACGTGAAGCCACAGATTCAATGAACCATATCCTGGTGATCATCTGAGCGATAAAGGATATTCCGTGGCAGACGAGTAGGGGTTGTAAATATGAGTATAGTGATTAAGGTACGATCCTTGGGAATTACGTGGTGGAGACGATCCTGAAAAATTGAGGAAGTAAAGAAGACCGAAAAGGAATAAAGGGTGTTGCCTCATCGATTTTCTT